AATCCTTTGGAAAAATTTGAATCTCTTCGCCTCGTCCTCGTTTCAGAACTCGCTTTTAATAATTGATCCTATTCGACACGTTTCACCTTATTCCTACGCCGATTCACATGCAACGAAAATATCCTGAAAAATCTTTCTTCGCTGCAGTCTCGTATTCGCATACTTTTTATCCCACTTTATGCAGCCCGCTTCACGTGCACCGTGTTACCCATCTTTTGTAAGTTTTCCTTAACGCGTCCCGGGTACTGGCAGATTCCGCGCGCACCTAAAATCGTCGTCGTGTCTCGCATTTTACGAAGCTCGTTCCAACAAGTTTGCGCAAACGGGAATTTCGGCGGATTAGAAACGGTCGAGACCAACGTAGAATAAACTATTGCGTCATTTTTGCCAGTTCCGTTCTTTTGCAAATTTTTTAATTAATACCTAAAAAAAGAAAGTTTGCGCTTTCGGTTTCTCTTTCTCACTATTAGCAAGCTTCCAATATTTTCGCTGCCAATTATCGGTATCCTCGTAACACGTTACATCGCTTTCCGGTTGAAAGTATTATTCCATTCCTTTTGCTTAGGCAAACTTCCATGGTGTCGATTTACCCAGCAAGAAATTAATTCGATTAATTAATTCACTCCTAGACTTTTGTTCATTGCTTACGCTCGACCTAGTCGTAAGTATCTCATCCATACAATTCTTGGTCATCCGTTCATTCGCATGCACTCCAGATAATACCCTAAACGCCTAAGTCGAACCCGATGACGCTCTTAACACTAGGTTTACGGACGCTATCTGTATACCTATTTCTAAGGACACCTGTCAAATTGACAGGTAAAGGAAATTACGTGCCTTTTTTTAACGATTAGTTTAATTTGAAAACAATTATATATTATATTAACAGTCTTAATATAAGTTAACTAAATCTGTCACCATTGTGTGAGAGGAGTCTTTATTTGGATGGCGTCACCCTGCATCGGGATCTACGTTTGCTTCGAGGAACCATCAAGATTATCAATTTTCGAAGCAGGACTGAGTGACGTAATGCGTAGTCATAGGGCCTATAAGAACCTGGCTGAAGGGTTCGAGGACACACACTCTTTTTCGACAATCTACCGTCTACATCACGCACCCTCACAAGACTCAAGCCTCCGCGCACTTGTACCGCAAGAGAATAAACTATAATCAAAGTTTAAAGTTCAATTTCTATAAATCCGATCCATTACCACAATCGTATAATTGGAGTAACCCTTCCGTCAAATTGACGGGTTCCGTAAATCTAGCGTTAAAACCGTTTCCTTCGCTAGAATCCTTGCCAGCTCGCAATACCGCGTTACCAAGTAACGGGAATAAGAAAATTGCTGAAATGCTTTTAGCTGTCTTAAATTATGAATATCTCGTCCCGTATGATCCGAGTCTACCGAGAAACGAAATTCTCCGAAACTCGCCATTCTTGTATCCGCTATTAAATTACACGACATCCCGTTTCACCCAGTCACCTAGCTTTTAAACACCATTCTGTTTTAAACATCGTTTACACACCGTAGACTCATTTAACGTGCGCGAGAGGGTAAACGCAGAAAATGGAATATAGTCGCGAAACAGGTCACCATTCACATGCGAGATCCGCGGCGAAATTTCTCGGTCCTACTGTTCCGCAAAAATTGAAAAGCCCGCAAACGTGAAACCGGGTACCAGGGTTCGAACACACGCGCGATTGTGCCAAAGTTTCTCATCTTCAATTTCCTAATAACCAGCATCATCATCATCGTCACCGTAGTCATCATCATCAGCGACAGTTTCCCAGTGAATCCGTTTCTCTTTTTCTCCTTTCGCGACCGGGTTCACAGTTCGTTCGCGTCTGTCGGTCGTTTTCATAATCGTTACGAGCGCATCGACTCTCTCCTCTTCCTTCTCCCTCTCTCCCTGTCTCTCTGCCTCTCTGTCGTTCAGTCCATAGGGAAATCTCTCTCGTGCACTCCGTGTCCCCCCGCGCCGTACTTGTCCGCGATAGATATCAAACGTAACGAGTTACGCGTACACACGACATCGCGAAATCACCGCTTCAAGCGAGAAGTCATTAGAACCGTGGCACGTGCCCACCTCGCGATGTCCCCCCGAAAATTAACAACCGAACCAGGCCCCCGAGACTTTTCGGCTCGCTCTACCAATTTCGGATTTACCTCGTTAAACGCGCGTTAGGTGTACACCGTTCCGTGACATTAACTTCGTTAATTAAGGAACGAACGCGTCGTCGAGTAGAGATATCAATTATGCCTCAAGATCGAGAGAACGCTTCGTATTTTGCTATTCCACCGAGTCCAGAGGATGAAATAATCTTCGTGCTTCGGTAAACCGTGAAAATTCTAGTAAATTTTAATCTACGAAGATACTTAAGTAGCTTGTGTTTAAGGTTAATATAATATATGCACGCATATTTAATCTTGTAGCCAGACTTTTGGTCTAATATGCTCGTGCACAGGTTGCTCCTACGTGGTAAAGTGCATGATATTATTTTACATTTTTACTCGCCACACTGTACCGTTACTACTTCGTTTTATTACTTACTGCAACGTGTGAAAAATTTCACCTGCGCTCGCACGGCCTGTGTCATGTAATCCAATTAACAAATGTTACAGCGCCAGAACTAAATGCTTGTCATCGTAAATTAAGATAAGCCAGTTCGTGTGTTATTATATTTTTCACACATCCGCGGTGACTATTAACGGTACTTCGCGTTGATAGTGTGACGCAGTTAACAAATACACAGTGGCTTCAGATATTGCCCCTGTGACACATCATAACGCACCAGAAGATAGCCGACCAGTAGTCCCAGACCTTTGATACAGCCCCAATAAATCACTGAAACCATAGCCATCCCTTGGACCCATGACACATAATACCAATAACCTCTCCTCCAACCAAAATCATTATAAATATCAGAACCTGAAACAAAATAAAGCAGTACTATTACGAAAATTGAGCTCGTGAGTTACGTCTGTTCGTACCCTATCCGCGCTCCATGACAATAGCTTGGTTTACTACCACTCGTCGAAGTACCAATTACATTTTCCAATAATATATGATCTGAAATTATTTAATTAACATCGAAACGAGTAACGTCTAACGCGAACAAGTGACACGAATTTAACAACGTAGAAGGAATTACTGGAAATAAATAATCTTGTAATTGTCACGCTTTTCAGAGGATTTTTCACCCTTTGCTCGATAAATCATTCGACTCTTTTACAGTTAAAAAAAAAAACAAACATTGCACATAAATTTCTTGCATCGATTCTGAATGCTGCAGACATTCGTCCACGGTATAACTGCAGTCGATTTTAGCGCAGTTTAGACAACATTTTGTCACTCTTGCGTCGCGCCGTTTACAGCTTGACGTGCCGTGTAAATCAGCTTTAAATCAACCTGACGTGGACGAGGGAAGACCGAAAATGAAACCCGAACTGTCCGGAACCAGAAGCCAGCATGTTCACACTAGTCAACATTGAACCACCTGCCACTAACACGCGCATCATTGCCAAAAAGTATGAAGAAATTTTCTTACGTCTTGTGAATTATGAGTTATTATTATTATATCGTAGAGTCGCTGAAGAGTACTTCGGCTAAAAATTTTCGCTGATTAACCGTTTGAGTGCCACGGGTCATTATTGTTTCCCAATCGATATTTGCCAAGCGGCGCGATAGCGCTTGTCATATTCCGTGTCCAAAAATGCCGAGCGGCGCGATAGCGCTTCTCATATTCCGCGTTCACCAACCGAGCGCGCTGATTATCAGCTTCGCAGCTCAGAGCGCTGGCACTTTTGGACACAAAATAGAAGAAGCGCGATCGCGCCGCTTGGCACTCAAACGGTTAAGGACTGCAACTAACTCTAACTGACTGAATGCTAGACTACTGATAGCCATCTAGACCCATCTGGCAGCCAAATCCACCACTTATGGATGGAACACTTGGTCCATCGCACTCTAATAAAGCCTAAAAATATCCCACAATATGGTATTGAACGAATAACACTGGAATCGATTTCTCTTCCACGATTGATCGACGAAATAAATAGAATCTTTACGAATTTCAACGAAAATAAAAAGTGTAAGAATGTATATAGGAATTGTATCTGGAGTGCGTGCGCAAGGATCGCGTGGACGGGATGTTTATGGAAGTATGAGTTACGAGTGAAGAAAGTTAGGTATGCGTCCAAATGTTTGGGGTACGTGACCCACTGAGTGCAAGGCTACGAAGAATGCGTGGAAAAGCGTAATTGGGAAAGAGAGCATGGGTATAGATGAGGACAGAATGAATGGTTTAAATAGGGGTACAAAGGCGCGGGCAAGACAGTTCCTTTAAGAGAGTTTCGTTAGACAGTGCCTTTAGAGAGTTCCTTCGGGAGAGTTTTACGTTAGAAAATATTCGGCCAGCCAGTTCTGATTGTTACGTTATTACATTAGTGAACCCCCTTACAATTCCAGAAGTGGGATTATTCGTTTAGAATTCCAGAAGTGGGATTGATCATTGTTTACAAAAGTTATTAAATATTCGTGATTTTCTAAACTTACAGTCATCGAAATTTAGAAATATTAAATAAGAGAAAAATTATCCCTGTTTTCTCGTTTAATTTATATCAAAAATATAGTACCTCGTGTATTCGAGCAGATTTCTCAAATTAATATGCAAGAAGTAATCTTTTGATAAAAGTAACTATCGCAATGACCTATATGCCAACTAAACAAGAGTTCCACGTACAGAATACAATCGCGAAAGTACTTTGGAACAAAATGGAAAACAGTTTAACTTCGATCTACGCGACAGATGAAATTACAAAAATATTAATTCGTCAAAGCGAAGTAAAAATAATTTACGATACAATACGAATGAACTACGCGTCCTTTGAAGCCGTGGTTTATTCGATAATCGATATGCTTTCGATTAGTTTTGACGAAACCTTGGCAAAAGTTGAACGTGATCCATTTCGAGGTTAGTTAGCGAAAGTTGGTTCAGGATGCAAAGGAAGAAAACGTCGAAGTCAGAGGGAAATCTTTCCGGGAAAGCAAAGAAGCAGGTAGACGAGAACTCCTGGCGCGAGCCTTTGGACGCAATCTCGATCAACGACGACGAGTGGTGGTGCATCGTGACCATGATGGTTGAGACGATTACCGAGCACTCGAGGTGCGTGTCGCTTTTCAACGTGGCCGCTGAAGAGGGTAGGCGGAAAGCCATTTACACTCTGAGCTGTCAGAAAACGCTGGCCAGCGTGAGAGCGTTGTCGAAGCAGAGCCTAGATAAATGTCCAACGATTCAGGGCGTTTGTCATTACGCGAACAAGGTTTTCAACGAGAACAACGACGCGCTACCAAGCTGGCTGATGGCACGGATCATCAAGTACTTAATATATCGGGCCAGGGAAGAGAGCATCGGTAGACTGAAAAGACTAGCCGACCTTGAGCGCGAAATAGACGAGGAGTATTTGATTATGCAAACAGTTGCTGACTTTGGTAAGCGAATCGATGAATGTATCGATTTTATCACATCCCGTATAAGATTGTGTCTCTAATGTCTACGGTAGTAACGAGGAAGTGGTTCGTGGGTCGGTTTAATTATGCCAATAAGCCCAGATTCTAGCACTAGAAAACAAATAGTGTCAGGTAATTCGAGTAATTTTGAAAGTAAGTATAAAGGGTTTCAACAAAGTCGGCAAAGGATAGAATATGCGGTAAGTAATTGGAAAGACCAAAGATTCTTAGAAAATTAAATAATTACTGATCCATCAAGATACGGTTAAAATGAAAGGGACAGATGCGATGTGAAAATCTGGTTGAACGTATATCTTTGTTTTATTTCGTTAACTTTATTTCTACTCGCAATGGAAAATGTTATATTACTTATAACAGGCTATTCGAGGAAGTGTTCCTCTTCTCAAGTTTCGCCTGCCAACTAACCTCTTTCAATTTAACTATTACTTTATAATCCACGTTGAGTTTGCAAAAAAGTACAAATTCGCTTGCCCCGAACTAAACGTTAATCAAGCGAAACAACGTGGACTAAACTGGGAAACCAGAAGCGAATTGTTAATTAAATTGCCCTGTGTTCGCTGCACGTTGTTACCATACGTCCATCATCTTCTCGACAGGCCAACCAGGATCGAAGAAATTCGACGAGGAAATGTTTGATAGAAAAGCGAACACGAAACTGAGGAAACGTGGCGAGGAGTGGCGAGAGGCTGTTTACGTTGACGATGCTCCTCTGAATGGACCGAATCTCTATATAATTCTGACAGGTTTCCACGACCCAGACCTGCCAGAACACTTGATAAATGTCGGAGTGCCGTTAAGTTGCATGATGCAGATCAAACGACCGAACGAACGACTGAATCGTAACGTACAGCACGAAACGGTCGCAGAGAAATGCACGGAAGATAGAATATTCCACTTCCTAGAAGAGTACACAGTCGGTAAAACGAAGTTGTTCAACTTTTGGACGAAAGTAAAGAAGCGAATGATGGATCCGGAAGCGTATCCGGAATATTGCGACATCGGGTTCCTCGTATTTTGTCCACCACAGCTGCCAGAAACGTCGAATAAGCAGGAATATGAAGCCCTGAAGAAAGACATGTACGACAGAGTGTCGTATATCGTGTACGATTTTTACGATGTTTATAGACAACATGGTAACTATTTGAAGAGCATGAAAGTAGAGAAGGGTATCGTTGGTGAAAGTGCGGAGAAAGCGAGTGTGGAAGTTTATGAGACCTTGCTGCATACGTTTCCTCCAGAGTGCGTTTCAGTGCCGCTGATATTGTTTGCAATATTGATGCAAGTTGAAGCAAATGTCAGAAGAACAACGGCCAACAGCACTATCGACGAAAAGGGGGATGCAAGAGCAACTGCAATGGTAAGTTGGTAACTTTTATATCTTCTCGTCAATTCGAATGGGTCTCGAGATATATTTTTCGAATGATTCGTTTCGTGAAAATTTCGTCGCGCAACAAATCCTCGCGTGCATCATGGAATATGTCTAGAGCTTAATTTTTCAAATACGACGTAATCTATATAGGATGACGCAGACCTAAAACCGGAAGCCGAAATTACCCCTCTATCTGCAGTCGCGTTCGTCGAACAAAAGGTAAAAATTCTTAACATCGAATATGGTCTCGATGACGAGGAGTACAGCAGCGGCCATAGCGGACAAAACGTAACTGACATCGCGCTAATCCTTCGCGAAGATAGTCTGGGTGAAGCCATTTGTCTGATGGATGATTCCGCGATTCCTCTGATACCAAAACCGACGGATTTGATCGACCACGTTTTGTCCATTTTCCGACATCCGATCGTGGAAAGTATTCGCAAGAAGCACGACATCAGCGGAGAAAAACTAAACGAATATACTCGCCACATCGATAACATTCGACGTTACTTCGACGTTGAAATAAGCGTCGAGGAAGTCATGCATCACTTGCACATTTTGATATTCGACAAAATGTTACACCGATCGTCGAAAACCAAATCCGAGGTTCTGGTTAATACTACGAACGAAGTCATGCAAAGCACGATGCGTACAAAAGATTTAACGTTTCCAACGAAACGCAGCAAATCCCTGTCTAGTCTGGTTTCAGAATCCACGCCTAAAATCCATTTTCTCAGCGACGGTAACTTCGATTACGGCAAAATGGTACCAGAGGTCGTCGAATGTTCGTCTCTGTTCGACCTGATAGACCCTCGTGAATTATTAGTGCCTGGTTATTTGGAGAAGAACGTCTTGAAGCCGAGAGCGACAGACAGGCCTCGCCTCGGAGATTTCAGCGATATCGAACTATTATCGAAGCCAATTTTTCTGCAGCTTCTTCACGAGTGTCTCCTCGCGTTCGATCACGTTGAGCTTCGATACTTCGAACCTACGGACTCTCTGCTACTATACTTCCGTAACAAGTGGGAAATCAATGGGGTGAGCGAGGAAGAAAGAATGTCTAGCATTCGGACGCCGGTTCGACTTCGTGATTTCTGCAAATACGTGGTGCCTGAAGAAAAGGATTGGCTACGACGGGAGGAGGAGCAGTACAGATTGCAGACGGCCGAGTCGATGGAAAGATTGATGAGAAAGAACGCGGAGATATACGACGAGACGATGCTGTTCCGCGACGAGGACTTCATTCTTCCTGGGACACTAAAAGCAAAAGATTTGGAGGCAAGAAGGGATCTTGATAGGCAAAAAAGTAGTTTAGAAGTAGGTAAGAAGAGGCTCTATCGTTTGGATTCAATCTTGCGAGAATTCTTTCTCTATTTCATCTAACGAATACTTTTCTCTAAGACTATGTAAGAATATGCGAGCACCGGTTTCCGATAAGGCGGCGTGAGTGACGAGGACGTAGCAGTGATAACCGGTGATCCGCTTGATCTTCGCAGTGGATTAACCTTCGTTAATCCTTTAAAAGGGCAGCTGGAGGAGCGGACCGCTGAATATCGTATCGAAATAAAATAATTCTGCGTCTTAATTTGTATACGATTTCCAATCTACTGTTTGAAAAATATCGTCGACTTTGTGGCAGAAAGTCTTCGAATTACTATTTTTCAGTAACGAAAAAATTGCCGAGTGCAAAGGGTTAACCCAGCCCCCTCTTCTCCTCCCCTTACATTTTCATATTTCATATTTTCATACGCTGGATAATATATTCTTTATGAACCGGCATACACGATCATTTGTTCGAAACAACGTAATAAAAATTTCCAAGAATACTCATTTCTCACGTGCTAATAATTCTTGATTGAGATTATAGGGCGAAGATATGAGAAATATACCGATGAAAAATATTAAACTACCATTTAGCTTACGACCTTCTTTCGCAGACGTATCATCCCATTCTCCGGTAGAAGATGTGACAAAGGGTGCGAAAAAAGAAAAAGCGAAGGGAAAGGAGGAACCTAAGAAAGGGATAAAAAGAAGCGACAAATCGACCGGTCGAAAAAGTAGTGCAAAACGATCAATCGCAGTGGAAGGTTCTCCGTCGACCATGGACAAGTTATCGCAGGTGAAAATTGTCGAAAAGGAAACGACTTATGATTTCATAGGCTACGATCTCGGGAGACTACGAGTGCAAGTAACGAATCGTAAGAAGACATTTTATTCGGCCGATGATACTCTGGTACAAGTAGAAACAGACGATTGGCTCTACAAGACCAAGCATTTACAAATCACTGTTACTCTACGTGGCTGCAGCTTACGATTGTTCCACAGAATCGACAAGCCTGAAACGATCGAGATATTCCATCTAACCACTAGAAGAGGGATCATTCTTGCTTTCCAGAAGCTGCTGACATCGCCACGTAATAATTTCAAACGTTTTGGAAATTTTTCTTTTCTCTCACAGTGATATAAAATTACGTTGCGCAAATTAAAGATTATAACGTAAACCTAAAGTCTATGGATTTAATTAGAATATTGATAAATTGTTTCTTTGTGATCCTACTTTACACTTGACGATGTAACGTTGCTTTTAGATCCATCGAAGAATAATGATCATACTTGGCAATATATGAACGTCGAATCCAGGATCTCATGGCCTACCGGTTTGCTGATAGAATCAGTCATTGGTGACGGACCAGAAAATCCTTATTATATTCGACAGTTATACGTACCAAAAGGCCACGCTGACAACAACGAAGATCGTGAAATTTGCAGAAAATTTTTGAGAAATGCAACTGTTTTGAAGTACCTAAGCGATGGCAGTATAACCGTTTTTCGACCTAATGGAGTAATCGTAAATTGTACAGCATTCGAGAAGACTCAGGCCAAGCAACACGAAAGTCACGATGATCAAGCTAGGGGTTCGAAAAGTGGACACGTTAATGCTTCAGGTATGTAGACTATAATACTAATCTCAGCATCCTAATATTAAGACAAAAAGAAGTAGTACTATAAAAATTCTTCAATTCTTGCAATTTAGTTCACAGTAATTTCTTAAGTAGAAGCATATAAATAGCGATTAAATAAAACTGAACAATGATCATCGATTGTAAATAGAGGGGGAATAAAGGAAAATTTTATTCCGAGAAGAAAATTAGAAATGTAGAGTCCATTGTGCATGGATGACAATTATCATGAAGAATATAACAATGGTTTCAGTAGCTTAAAAATTGAAACGAAAAGCCACTGAAGCAAAATTTTTATAAACGTCGAGTCGAATCTGTTGAGAACGTGCGTGCATTGCATTTTTAAAGGTGACAGACCGAAAGAGACGAAGCTGCAACCTAAAACCAGGAGAAAGCCAATGAGTAACTTGAAGTCCCAATTGCACGAAGTGGTCGAGGGAGATTCTGTGCCTGCACAGCAGAATTTAACGACGGTGAGTCAAGTGTCCGTTAAATTTCGTTTTAACTCGAGAACGAGAATGATCTGATCTAATAAGACAAGAATTCAGACCTTGGAAACCGTTTAACGCATCGGTACTTGGCCATTGCTATTGGGTTACCTAAATTAATTACACGTCTTTTCGAGAAATGTAAAAGAAATGAATTCTCCATGGAAACTACCCTAAATTTCGACAATTAAAATTATCAGACGACGAACAACGACGGTTTAAAACGCTTTTAGCCAGAATTTTCTTTGAACATTTATAAACAATTTTTATTCATCGAATTAATGGGAATTCTTCGATATCTCGGTGCAAATTAATTACAAACCAAAGGAAGAAATATGCCTACACGTATAACAACACTACAGATCGTGTTGTCACGCAATTGTCTTCGTTCCCATTGATTCGAGCATGACTTGCCATCAGGGTAGTGGCAACGTCTTGTCAATGATGGACAGCACGGTCAAAGTGTCACGGTACACAGTCCTGAATCACGATGGCAGGTGGTACGAGGTGCACGACGACTTGGTCGTAAGTGAACAGCATCGATTACTCGTGAGAATGGCGTCAGACTACGAGGTCGATGAGAAATTCACGCGTCGCGCTGACGGTACCAACATGTTGCTGAATTCCAATGGTGAATTGATTGTCAGATTCCCAGGTAAGTTTCAGCGTAGCTGCCACTTTGTGAAACGGATTCCAATTTCCACGAGATATATTATATTTCCTCCGATGCGATTAAAAAGCGCAAAGCAACAACTAACGTTGAAATTAATTCGTCCTTCCTTCTATTTCTGCAACGTTCTTCTCAGTCTTCGTGTACCTATTTATTTCTACTAAATTACTATTTAACCGTTTATAAATATATCATCTCTTCTTAAAATCACATTAACAGAATTAAATAGTTTAATAGCCTCGCGAGAAAAATATTGTCCGTAGTGAAAGACAACAAAATTGTCAAATGAGAAATTAACCATCACCTCGGAACAGTATCGACATAAATTTATCTTTGACAATGAACAGAAGCTTTTGAAGAATCCGATATCGATCCACAGTTTGGTACGCTCTGAAATTTCGTTAAACACGTTGCCTATGATTTAACGTTATCAAACCCTGCAGCGGTAAATATTTATCTTGCGCGACGGTGTAAAATCATGCAACGATTCGCAGCCACGTTCCACGGAGCATTTTCGCGTAACGTATGCGAAAGCCAAGTTCATAAACTTTCATCTCAACTTTCCTCATCTCTGCCGTATTTTGTTTGCTCGTTGAATGCAGTTTCTACAAACGTTTGAGGAACTCGCGGAAGCAAAGCGTTCATTGTACTTTCATGTAATGATTCCGCTAACTTTCAATTTTTTCCATTTCACTGATGTTAAGCAACTTGAAGCTGAAGCTACCAACTCTCCCTGTCAACAGTTCCTCCTTAATTCCGAGCAATTTCGTTTCAGTGAATTTCGAGAATTTAGCAGATTCCTTTATCTTCTATTTATTTTCACGAGATTATATACGCGAATAATAACAAACGTTCCACCATATGCGAGAAAAATGTATCAGCATGTACTCCCGCTACTAGCAAGAATATATACGTTGACTTGTTTATAAATGGTTCATGGAAACATGAAATGGAGTAAAAAAATTTTTATCGGTGGGCAAAGCTGGTTTCAGACGAACGTGACTTGTAGCTTTCCAGTATCGAACGTATCTCGACTTTTCGTAGGTTTATGAATAGATACTTTCCAGCTTCTAAATTTATATATCTCTATTATGCTATCGTAGCTTCCTTTTCATTTTTATGCTTACTCTATCAGTGACAGGATTTACCTTATTTAAAAATATTCGCCATTAATCAAATAATCGTTATAATTTAAATTTGCATTCACTGTTCTCCGCATAACAGGCAGACGATATTGTAGAATGCCGAAAACTGGTTTTATTGTCATTGTCACTGTACAGGAATTAAATATTTATATGTTCCTTGAAGGGTTGAGACACTGAAAACAGACAGAATAATATGAAAAGGACGATACCAACACTAAACTCGGAAAACTAATTTAACGTAAGGAAAGAACACTAAAATGACACTCTAATTCAACTCTTTCCAACACTCACGCCCTTGCTTGTCACAATCTATTTCTACGAAGATTCTTCAACGCTTCTTCACTAAGGACTCAGCCTGTGTCGTCAAGGGTCCTGTTCTTATGCTTTTCGCAAAGCTCGATGACGTGCCTTTTCCAATCGCTAATTGACTGATATGGTTCAGCCCATTAGCGATTTGTTCCCATAAAAGACACGTCATTTTCCGGATTCGTGATTCGCTCCACGATTTTGTTGATCGCGATTCCTTTCCCGAAATGCTATCCTACAATATGTACACACGTGGATGACATGTAGTAACGATTTCTGTGAAGGAACGTATCACTGTCTTCAAACCCATCAACTGCATACGTAAAGATCTTGTATAGGGTTTTAATTAATTTCATGCACAATTTTAATTTTAGTTTCATGGACAATTCAGTGATTACGAAAGTATCTCGATTCCAATGTCACTCGAATAGAGCCAAATGATTTTGGCAATGCCACCTATTCTGCGTATTTTTATGGGACAAATTCCCTCGATTAAAAGAATTTGCTGCATTTTTAACACGTTGACTGCCATGGGGGCCCCCGGTGACCGGCGACGCGACCATTAGTAAAAATACATAATTAGAGTAAATATCGATACTGATAAATTTCTAAATAGTACCATTGTTACTATAATAGTTCGAAGAAATTAATGCCACATAGAACATGCAAAAATAATTTTATTTATGCAAAGAAAAGGTGAATCAAAGCAGTCGGCACAATATGTCGCCACTTTTTTAGTGCAATTCTTTGCTCTCATTCTTCCTAGCTGATTTGAATTATTTTCATAGCACACTTTACAAAATCGCCTTACATTTCGCACACTTCCAGGTTTCTTTTTAAATTCGTGACGATGCTTTTTCTGTACGTAATTGCTCGATGAAATGCAATCTTCGTGATCAGAACATTCCACTAAATACATCGCTAACTTCGTCCTAAAATCGGGAATTGAAATATTTTTTCGAGTTGCTTTTTAAACAATTGATAATGGCAAAAATGGTCTACAGTGCC